GCTGTGTGTATATAAATACGTGTATACTATACACAGCTATGTACAAGTTACATATAAACACATCCCAGAAGGCTGACTTTGGCTTACATTATAAATGATTTTTATAGCAATCTATAGTTAAATATCAGATTCGAATTAAGATTTTTGACCATCTGGTGAAAAGACCTATTGTTATATTTCTTATTAGAGCTTTTCACCAATGTTGAACAGACCTATGGTTTATATGTTTCATTTACTTCTTCTGCAACAAACTTGTGGATGCTTAATCTCTTCAATAGTATCAAACAGAATCATTGTCTCAATTGTGCTTTATAGGGCATGTTATGAAGATGTTCCAGCAACATTTTCCAGGTCAAAAATCCGATATTACCGATATGACATTACAGGTCAATGTATAAAAATGGTCAATACTAAAAAAACTGTTTAATGTTACAGTATTCATACTACGACGTTATTTGAAGGTAACCTATGGGGCTAACATTTTCTCATGTTTATAAAAAATATGTCTCATACAAAAAACCTTGGCTGTCGGGTCAAAGAACACAAATTTTTAACTTTTTTATTTCTTTTATAGATCGATGTAAAACGTCATTCCAATGAAGCAAGACTTAGTGTCTTCAGTGCCTTTTAACCGTTTACAATTAACGTTAGATGCCTGTTTGAAAATTTCCTTTTATCTTTTATAAATACTGACAATTTGGTAAAATGTATGTTTCGCATATATCAGTTTCTTATATTTCGTCACATTGATGTAGGAAAATTTTCCCTAGATATCCTCTACTATTAAGTGACATTTACAACTTCATCAGAAAGAGAAAATGGCCGCCATGACGTTATATCCTATTTAAACTTGCAATTTCTCATTAACGGTTGAATGTATTGAATTCATCTATGGATATATTATGTAAAATAACGAGTAAATGACACGTATAAGGAAATACTTTTGTAAAAGTCAACTTCCGTTTCTCGGTAGGAGTTAAAGTTGGAAACGACCATTTTGAGTAACAAATTTTTAAAACTTCTTTTCAGGTCTCCCAATGTCAAGAGTCTTGATAATTCATATTTAAGAAGCTCAAGTGATTGACTCTAAAGTTTGGTAATATACATAACATTGTCTGCTTTTGTCTGTTTTTTAAAACACGACATCTTGTTTCTGAAAGGGGTCAGATCTGAAGGGTCAGATATGTAAAGTGTTATTATACAAACTTTGAAAAAACTTTTTAGAAGGTCAGGTACATTGATATTTCACATGTAAGATGTCCCAGTCGTTGGTTATCAGGTTTGATAATATGAATAGCCTTCATCCGCTTTCAAGGTCACAGGGATCGTTTTTGTTAAAACATTTAAATCTTTTCAGTAACTAAGAGATACAAGGTGATTATGTTTGATAATTTGCATGTTGCTATTGATATAGGTAAGAACATATTGTGTCAAATGTCAATTTCTGATCTTAGGAATAGGTAACGTTTTGAAATTTCTTTTCCGGGTTACACAAATAAATAATCAGAAGCTGTGCAGTCTAGATATGTAATATATAAAATTTTTGAACAGTAAGCTATTATGTTTGTGGAATGATTGCCCTTTAGGTAAAATGTTTTGTATTAGTGAAAATAGTCGTCAAATTGTCAGCCAACATTTTCTAGTTAAATGCTTTTGAATGTATCAGACATTTCTGTCTTCGTCGTGTCTTAGGTCATCTCACAATATCTAAATGATGTGTGTCGAGGTAGGGATGGTGTTCCTGTAAATTATTTGTTTGATACAGGAGTAAAATATGCATATCTGACCATGTACAATCCAATCCAGGAACTCTACCAGTAACAACGGATAAATTATCTCGTCATGTATCATTATTGGATTATGTTTTTATGTACCACAAATATAAATGCTTTGTCCCTGTTTTATCTTCCAGCGATCTTTTTCTTAAAATTGTATTTAGGTAAAATATCTTGTGTATGAAATCTTAAACTGTCTAGTCAGGACTATTGGATGTAATTTTGTTTCCTGAAATAAAAAAAAAAAATCCAACAGCAATTATTTATCACTTGTTAAGAAGTATAGGCGAGTGAGTATGCGTTATACGTTATAACTATGCGTTGTATAAATCTTAAGAACCGACAAGATACAGAATAGAAAAAAGGCCACGAATGACTGCGCCAATAATATATGTACAATTATGAGATTAATAACGATGTTTATTTTATCATTGTGTTCAATTTTCATGCACCTGGTACGTGGACTTATTTTTTTATATCTATTTTTATTAATTTTCTTTATATTAGTTTCAATATTCCTGTTCCAAGACATCAGTGTCATTGTTACTTGGAGCCTGAGGTCCACGTAGTTATATCATTTGATGCCAGATTTCATAGGAATCACAATTTGCCTGTCGCTATCTTAAGAAAATGTTATCTAGTGTTGTACAGCGTGATTAATGTCCTGTAATACCACATTTGACACAACAGAGTTGAATGCTTGACGTTTTTAAGTGTCAGTAAAGTTGTCAAGGTACTACCAGTAGTGAATGTTTGAATGGATTATGACCAGTACACATCTGTCCAAATTGAGTAATGTTAACTTTAATAAATCACGTGTTATAGCTGTAAAGGCATAACAATATATGTAGTTAACGGACTTTAAATATGCCGAGAGTGTAAAGTGTTAATTACATTGACCTGCAAAATCTAGATTAGCAACCGGCCACTTTAAACATCATTCGTGACCTCAGGGTCACATCACAAAACAAATTATTAGTGCTAGACTGTACAATACCTCTAGGCAGTGTTACGTCTGATATTTCCTACTCTTTGTTTAAATAGATAACAGTATGATATGTATATATAAGTAGTATTGGACTGGATGATTCATTTTTTAAGGATTTGTTATCTTGGAAAGAAAGAAGTTCAGTCAGATGAATCACAGGAAACGGACACTACAAAAAAGCAGAAATTATGTATATAGTATACATACATAATTTTGTTTAGCAATATAAAAGCTATAATTCACATGTAGAATGTCAGATTACTGTTGTTGAACAAGTGTATTTAGACTTCATAGATAAGCTTGAAAATCTGTAAGCCATTGACCACTGACAATAGTTGGAAGTGTAAGCAAAGAGATTCATAACTGTGTGATGTACATGGATCTTTCAATCACAGAAGAGGACTAAAGTTCAGGTACCCAGTGGATGCTAATAGCATTGCGCATCTTAGAGCTTACAACTATTTTTGCATTCGACTCTTTATCATCTTGTGTGGATACCATTCGTGAAAATATGATATCTTATCTTGGGGAAAACAATTTGCATAAAAGTGTACTTGTTAATTTAAAATAATACACTCTGGGTAATCACTTTTTACAATAATACAATAACATGCATATGGCAATTTAATAATACGTAATGAATAATATATTATATACCACGCAACTATACCTCTCATATGATTTCATACATTATCGAATCCAAACACAATTTTGTAAACTATCTATTATTCATTATTTTTCACACCATGGATGTTTATGAGTAGTAATTCTGTGGAACAGTTATGTCGAAACAAAATTGTAAACATTGTGATATACTATTACAAATGTTTATCACTTGTAGCTGCACATTTTGATAAGTTTTGCTTTACTCATTTTAAGTATATATATCAATACACTGATTATTGCTTACCTGGCTTGTAAACCCACATGGACTCCAAACATTTCCTAAAATCCTTTTTCATGAGATATATTTTAACTAAGTTACTCCTTTGTATTACTTATTAATATATATTTTGGATAACAAACTCCGTTGTATGCCTATTGATTGAACTTCAGTAACTATTATGCATCGTTGTTGCAACATTAAGAGTACTTCACACCGTACTTGCAAAAGTAGCATGTCCACATATTGTTGTCCTTTTTGAAATACAGCAACTTGCTGTCTTTATTTTCCATGTAACTGGTAAGTCGAATTTGTCATTGTTGCTTTTATTTTATGTTCAATGTATCAAGTAATACTAAAAGCGTAATAAATTGGCATGAATGAGATACTTGTTACACGAAGATCAGTTTTGAAATTGAATAAAACTGAACAGAATCAATGTCATTATTTTGTAATTACTTATCAAACATATATTGGAAACAGATAAAACCAGGTGGGTAAAAATGTAATTAGAATACATAATCCAAAAAAAGCTGACAAACGCTAACTAAAAATCGATTTTAAAGTATATACACAATTAATATACAGTCTAAGAAAATTTCATATTGTCAGGTCCAAGCTAATTATATATTCGGTAGTGGTCACGTATTTTATCACTGCCTTCATTTCCGTGCTTCTGTTGATTAATTCTTCAACTTTTTTTAATCTTTAAATATATATGACATCCATCATAAACACCGTCAGATGAAATATGTTGGTAATCTTAACTATAATCTAAAATGCCATGGACATTTTTTCATTGCTTTCGTCACAGTTGTATTTGTAACATAGAATTAAAGTTAGAAGCTTTGTTAATTTTAATGACTAGAACATGTATTCCTTTTTATTAATACTTTCCGTCCTTATTCACGTCACATCTCCTTCATTATTTTTTTTACTTCTGAAAAAAATCTCGATAACTATAACTTATGTTAATATGTTGTTTGCAGCGTTTAAAAAAATGGATATTTATTTGTTTTGTTTGGCACTGTGAACCGAAAATACAAACATTTCCTTTTCAAATTATAATTTTTATTTCCTTTAGGATAAGTGACTTTTAATTTACATTTAAAAAGATGAAGAGGGAATTTATTCGAAGTTTCCAGTCTGTCAACGTACCAAGTTGATTGACGTTTCGGTATCAACGGGAATTAATTCGGAAATCCCTAAATCCTTGCATAATAACTATAACAAACTTATTATAGATAGAGATATTTAAATTAAAACAGTAAAATCCGGTTTCAGAGCAGTTATAGGATCTTTTAGGATATATAGGTGTGAACGCACACGCACTTTGTTCACACGTGAAGTCAAGATGTCAAAAACACATTTATGTTTGAGTTCTGTGTTGTTGTTAGCAATGATTCATGTAAGTAGCTTGAGAAGATTACACGATCGCCTGCCACGCCAATGGTTTAACATATGTAAAGTGAGGAGCAAATTGTCATGCTTAGACCATGGGACAGATTCACACGTTGTCGATGTAATAAGGAAGGAAAAGCTTACTTGCCTGGTTTGTGATGTTCATCCTGATAATATTTGGAACTTTCACGACTTCAGACGTTTTACAGAAAGATCAGGGAGGGATTTTGCGATTTCTGTGCGTTGCCATGATGAAGGTAATATTACTCTTCCGTTTCCTATACGCGCGGCAGGACTGCGATATATCTCGGTTACCAATTGTTTGATACTTGACTACATGTCAGAATATTTTGACTCTGCCATCAATGCAATCCCCGATACTTTGGTATATAGCAGTATTAAAAACTCCGTCATTCTTGTTGATATAATGAAACTAATAGCAATGTCAACCAACATGACTGATCTTACCAGAGCTGCCAAATGTGGACCCGAGAAGAACATCATTGTCTCCATTGCGAAAAATATTTCGTACACGTTTGGAGAGTTGCCAGAATCAATTCTTGACGACGTTTTCGACAAGTTTTTCTCAAGTACAACATCGAAATTCATGTGGGGGCTTCTGACATCTTCTCATACATGTTTCTACTCAAAGCTGATTGAAATGGATCTGAGTGTTTCGAGAACCCGAGGGGCAAAGTTTGACAGTATCCTAATTAACAATGCGCATTACCCAGCACTAGAGTCATTGAAAGTTTCTGATTCTCTACTTAGCAGTATACCAGATAAGTTCAATTACTGGAGAATGGATTTCCCTCGGCTGATGAATCTTGATCTGTCTCATAATCATATTGAAGGATTTGACGGTGTCTTGGACTACGGAAACCTGTCGATAGATTCCAGAATCGGCACTCTAGACCTTCAACACAACCATATATCTTTTATCACATTGCACGAGTTAGAATCTTTACTACATCATAGGTTTGTGAAGGTCGACATCAGAAACAACCCTTTCAATTGTGATTGTAAAATGCGAGATTTCATCGATTACTTCAGACGACCAAACAATCTTATACAAGGAGGAAATGCAGAGCAGTACGACTACTTAAGACGTCTGAAATGTCAGGAACCACTTTTCTTAAAAGGTCGAACTATTGTAGATTTAAATCACAGTGATATTGGATGCTGATATATGATAATGTATCATAAACGTAGTACTTACACCATAGGAATATTTATTTTCATTTTTGGTATTGGTTTGCATACAACTATTTCACCATGTAACGCAAATTCATTGTAAATTAATTCATTTCTACATTTTCACAAACTGCAAATGTAGAGTTTTGCAAGAGGTATAATTCCTGACCAAAAGGACATTTTCTTTTCTCGCAGCATTTATTACAGTTTTTTCAAGGCAATGGTATGTCTTTAGTTTGATTCTCTTATGAAATCTAACAAATTTGCCAGCAATACACAAATAGCAGTACAGAAATGTATACAGTTTAAATCTATAAAATCTAGGACATTCCATTATTTTACGAAATTAATTCCATATAAATAACTCAAATGTTCTTCAAATGTTATGAAATCACATGGAAGCCTTGAGAACAACGCGGATTTATTTATTAACATGATTAAACTTTTTAAAATAAACAAAAAAGATATTTACCTTAAAAAAACAAAAAACAGCTGCAATTTAAAGTTTCTATGTGTCAATATACTTTATAATTAGATTCGTTATAAATTATGTATTGTTTGTGGTTCGCACTGTGTGAAACAATGCAAATGATTTACATATAGAATAGCGTAATCCTATTAGTTCACCTTAGAATTGAAAGTGAAAAATAAAAGTCACACATATATTTGCAAACATGCTTTATTTTTTTCTTTAATTTATTTTCATTGTTAAATGAATATTTATTGATGTTTTATGTAGTATTTATCTTTTTTACAATCCTTATATATGTATAAATATTTCTAAAATTAAAATGTTTGCAAATCATTACGTCATTAACGAAAAAGTAAATGCATCTATGTTCTGTAGCTAATTGTCACATGATTTAAACGTCTTTGTTAAACAAATGTCTTTCTGTAGATATTCATGTCACTGCTGGTAGGCGTCCTACTAGAGTCTGTAATGAGACTATAATTCAAACCAATCACCACCAATTGTGTTATTTTGTTACTTTACTTTAAAATGTTATTTTGACAATAAAATTACCTAACAAGAAGATGGCCTTGTTCATATTAATACATTTTGCACGTAAAATACGATTAACTATAACATTTTCAACTTACATAAAGTGAAAATGAAATAAGTGTGTAAGAGATGATTGCGTTTTTTAAAATGTTCAGAATAATGGATTTACCATAAAGCCGGTAATTTCCATGAGTCAACATTATTTTCGATTCTCTTTGAAAAAAGACCGAATAAAATTTCCATGAATTTGTATTTTGCTTTCTTGATGTAAAAGTACATTTAATATACTCGCGTCCCATATCATGGATTAATTCTTTTAAAATAAAAAAAAAAAAAAAATCGACTGCATACTGGATTAAATCCAAAACCATAAACTAATATAGCTATAATTGCTCGAGATACATAACTACTGTTTAGTAATTTGATTGGGCATATATTCAGCGGTTATCCACTGTCTTCCAATTCATTTCAATGATATTTCCTCAAACTTTTTAATCACTGTCAAAATGTTTTCTACATAGATAGTATCTCGTTATCTTTTATCTTTGTTTTTGATACTAATAAAATCTAACTCCTCAAGTCTATATTACATGTCACGTTTAAAAGGCTACCATATACAAGGACACGTCATGATATAGATGTGAACATGATAATCAATGTTTGCTGTTTCGCTTCTATGATCAGAGACGAAGATGAAAAGGTTTGCCTTTTAACTACTTTACTGCATGATCCTCTGTCCTTCTCTCTGTTAAGAATGGGATTCAACAGTAATGGAAATTTAAGAACAGGCGCTATATGTTTACTAAATGCTAAACCTAGGAGGTGACTGAGGAGAATGCAGTGATCGCAAGAGGTGTCAAAATCTAGATGGGGAGGTGTGCTAGCCCAAAATTTTAGTAATTTGTTTTTATATTAGTGATAATTTTAGAAGTCCGTGATGTACACGTGTAGATTTGACTCGTGCCACTATTCGAATGAATTAGCAGTATCTACAATGTGCAATACCGAACATTGTACAAACGACACACGAGTGAATAGCGTCTTTTAATACAAATTCAGATCAGATACAATAGAGCAATGATCTGTATCGCACAAGAGATATGTCAATATACTTAGCTAAAGAGTATGAAATAACAAAGTCTCGTACAAAATATGAAATAACACAGTCACGTACAAAATATGAAATAAAACAGTCACTTACAAAATATGAAATAACACAGTCACGTATAAAGTTTGAAATAACACAGTCACGTACACAGTTTGAAATAACACAGTCACGTATAAAGTTTGAAATAACACAGTCACGTACAAAAGTTGAAATAACAAAGTCACGTACACAGTTTGAAATAACAAAGTCACGTACACAGTTTGAAATAACACAGTCACGTATAAAGTTTGAAATAACACAGTCATGTACAAAGTTTGAAATAACACAGTCACATATACAGTATGAAATAACACAATCATGTATAAAGTTTGAAATAACACAGTCACATATACAGTATGAAATAACACAATCATGTATAAAGTTTGAAATAACACAGTCATGTACAAAGTTTGAAATAACACAGTCACGTACACAGTTTGAAATAACACAGTCACGTACAAAGTTTGAAATAACAAAGTCACGTACACAGTTTGAAATAACACAGTCATGTACGAAGATTGAAATATCACAGTCACGTATACAGTTTGAAATAACACCTTCACGTGCATAGTTTGAAATAACACAGTCATGTATAAAATTTGAAATAACACAGTCACGTACAAAGTTTGAAATAACACAGTCACGTATACAGTTTGAAATAACACAGTCACGTACAAAGTTTGAAATAACAAAGTCACGTACACAGTTTGAAATAACACAGTCATGTACGAAGATTGAAATATCACAGTCACGTATACAGTTTGAAATAATACCGTCACGTATAAAGTTTGAAATAACACAGTCAAGTACAAAGTTTGAAATAACATAGTCATGTACAAAGTTTGAAATAACAAAGTCACGTACACAGTTTGAAATAACACAGTCACGTATAAAGTTTGAAATAACAAAGTCATGTACACAGTTTGAAATAACACAGTCATGTACAACGATTGAAATATCACAGTCACGTATACAGTATGAAATAACACAGTCAAGTACAAAGATTGAAATAAGACAGTCACGTACACAGTTTGAAATAACACAATCATGTACAAAGTTTGAAATAACACATTCACGTATTAGAAATAAATAGAGTTGTCTTGATAAGTCATATTTATTTGTACAAACCGTAAACCTTCAAATTGAATTTAATTTGAAATATGTGTATAATGAATCTGATATTCTTTTATATTAATTGTAAAGGCAATACAATGAAAACCTGTCGTCCTGTCGAGGAAATGTTTTGGATGTACACATACTTTATTGCTACATCTATTCCATCAACACTGAAAATGCACACTGTCAAAATGGGGCAGCCCATTCCTACACACAACTACTGTGTACAGCATATTTATCAAAACGACAAGGTACAAAGTTTGAAATAACACAGTCACGTATACAGTTTGAAATAACACAGATACGTATGCAGTTTGAAATAACACAGTCACGTATAAAGTTTGAAATAACACAGATACTTATGCAGTTTGAAATAACACAGTCACATATACAGTTTGAATTAACACAGTCACGTATTAAGTTTGAAACGGTCACGTATTAAGTTTGAAATAACACAGATATGTATACAGTTTGAAATAACACAGTCACGTATACAGTTTTAAATAACATAGTCATATATACAGTTTGAAATAACACAGTGACGTACACAGTTTGAAATAACACAGTCACGTATAAAGTTTGAAATAACACAGTCACGTATACAGTTGGAAATAACACAGTCACATATACAGTTTTAGATAACACAGTCACATATACAGTTTGAAATAACACAGTGACGTACACAGTTTGGAATAACACAGTCACGTATAAAGTTTGAAATAACACAGTCACGTATAAAGTTTGAAATAACACAGTCACGTATACAGTTTGAAATAACACAGTCACGTTTAGAGTTTGAAATAACACCTTCACGTATAGAGTTTGAAAAAACACAGTCAAGTACAAAGATTGAAATAACACATTCACATATAAAAAATAAATAAAGTTGTCTTGATAAGTCATATTTATTTGTACAAACCGTAAACCTTCAAATTGAGTTTAATTTGAAAAATGTGGATAATGAATCTGATATTCTTTTATATTAATTGTAACGGCAATACAATGAAAATCTGTGGTCCTGTCGAGGAAAAAGTTTTGGATGTACACATACTTTATTGCTACATCTATTCCTTCAACACTGAAAATGCACACTGTCAAAATGGGGCAGCCCATTCCTACACACAACTACTGTGTACAGCATATTAATCAAAACGACATAGGTCCATAAAGAAAATGTTTTTTTTCTTTGTAGAAACATATAGATATGATAAGCTGACAGTACCAGCAATAAAAGCGATGTTCTCTGTAACCTGCATTCGTATAGATGACATATGAAATGACGAAAACCAAGGCCGTGACACTTTATTACTCTGTATACATCAGCAATCAAGTGTCTAGAGATTCTAATTAATTAGTCTCTTAAATACCTATATGAAACAGCCATGTGATCTACCATTTTGCAGTTGGCAGACAGTGGTCGTATTCTTAGGTCTGCCGTAACCTACTTGTCACTTTTTAATTTATGGCACATAGGTATTTTACGGTCTTCTAATATCAATGTTAAACATTCAAAAATTGTTTGAAGTATGGGCCAAGTGTACCACCCCACTGCTTTCGTTATTTTTTGACCAATGTAGATTGTCCTCGGTTGCTTCTTAGGTTTTAAAAATTCAGCCTCACTAACGGGTCCTAGAAAGATGAAACAGCCGTATGATGTAGCTTAATTGATTTTTATTTTTACTATATGGCATATCATTCTACGTTAGCATCTTTTGCACACTCATACGTATGTGATCAAGTCTTTAGTTTGTTTTCATAATTGAAACACTTAATTAATATTGCTTATCAATTTATCTTAAATTAACAAGTAAGGTATGAAAACAAGTCAAAGTGAAAATTGGAGTACCGCAAGTTTCTTTTACATTTGTATCTAGTAAATATTTTTCCGAGAATATCTCATATCACTATCTATTTAGAATTGTCACTGGTCACCAACAACCTTGACCTCAAGTTTTTTTAATAGTTAATGCGTTACTGTCAGACATTTTGATATAAGTATTAGCCTTTCAGTCGCTTTCATATTCTAGATTGTAACTTTGCTCTTGACAAGGCCGTATTAAGGACTTCTGTAATTCTTATAACATACGCAGACGTGACGGTGTACATTCACATTCAAATTCAAAGAAAATGACGTCATTTCCAACAAGGAGCAGACTATGTTCACGGTACAACATAAATATAGCATTTATGATTTTCTGCGCGATAAACATATGTCAATCGTTGGGAGTTCTTGGAACGGAAAAGGGATTTTCATTTAAAAATCCTACCTTCACAAAAACAAATTTTTCTATCACGCAAGTTAACTTGCATGCAGATGGACATACGAGCATGATTCCCAACAAGTGGAGAGATATTTGCAAAATCAAACTTACTATAGCTTGTTTTGATTCTTCAATGGAAGAGAGTGTTATCTCCATGATAAGAAACGATGCCCCTACTTGCCTCACTTGTGACGTAAGACCAGGGGATGTTTGGAACTTTCACGATTTCAGACGTTTCATGCAGGATCAGCCCGGAAACAGAAGTTACGCCATGACCGTCCAATGTTTCAATGGAGGAAACGTAACACTTCAATGGCCTTTGCGTGCAATTGGTCTGAATTATATTTCTGTTAGCAACTGCCTGTTAGTTAATTATACGGAAGATTATTTTGACAAAGATATCAACCAGCTGCCGGATACTCTAGCATATTATAGCATAACGGATTGTATCATGTACATTGATGTGATCCATTTCTTGAACGTCACCAGAAACGTTAATCATGTTACAAAGGCAGCAAAATGTGGACCTGAAAAATATCTCAATGTAGCTATCAACAGGAATATATCCTATCAGTTTAAGACAATTCCGGATTATTTTATTGAGAAATTAAGTGACAATTTGACAATCCACGCAGCTCGAAACTATCATAGAGAGGTTTTGGTTTCGCCTATTACATGCAACTACACAAAACTACTGATAATTGACCAGAGTAAATCAAAAAGTCTTGGATCAAAACATGATAGCATTTTACTTCAAAATTCCAAATATCCTGTGCTGCGAATTTTAAACCTTTCAGATTCAATGCTGAATGTGCTACCCGAACGCTTGGACGATTGGAGGTTGTATTTTCCTCGGATAAAGCATTTAGATTTGACGTATAACTCCATAAAAGAATTCCAAACTGTATTGGATTATGGCATTGAGAGTGAGGATCCTAGCATAGGACTTATTGATTTGAGATTTAATGCTATCACAACAGTTACTCGCGATGAGCTCACGAGATTACAACATCATCGATATGTAAAGATTGATATACGAAATAATCCTTTCAACTGTGATTGTGCTATGGCTGATTTTGTTGAATATTTCCAGGTAACTACGGCTGAAGAAAAATTTGGTATCTCAGGTCAGTATAAATATCTCCTGCATTTAAGGTGCGAAAGTCCACCTTCCCTCAAAGGCAGAATAATTGTGGATTTGACCATGGATGAACTTGCATGTAATAAAACAGAATTATCAGATGTTAGATTTTACCCAGTCGTGCTGTTAGCTATACTTACTGGCATCCTAGCGATTTATTTACTGTTAACGATTAAGCAGCAGGTGGAAATGGTTGTCTTACTATTTAAGAGACTGAAACGACTATGTTTATGTAGGCCTCGGCATCATCATGAACAGTCCAGCGAATCTAACGAGATAGGTTTAGCAACGTCATAAATCTTCAAAATAATTAGAAATAGTTAAATAGTGTTTCATAAGACCTAACATGTTACACCAATGACTGCATCAATTCCTGTTTTGTTTTATGAACTTGTATCTCATTGTAGAGACCATATAACAGATATACATGTTGAAATGTATATAATTGTTTTATGTGTATTGTTGTTAGAAAGAATCAAACTAGTAATTTTCTTAATTCATATATAAAAACAGATTTCTTTGAAGAAAGCTTATGAGGTGTCTAAAATATATCTAAAACATAGCATTAACATTGCTGTTCTGGATCTCTAATCATCGTTTCATGAAAATTTATCTACGTGGGTGTCAAAAGTACTAGCTTCGTTGCTTGTTGCATATTTGGTTTGCGCATGTCCCGACCCTTCAATTCGATATCTTAAGATTCCGCAATTTATTACGTTTCTGTTACAGTGAAATGTTGAGAAATATCACTCTTGTAGACTTACACCATTGAAATGGAGAACACAATTTATCAAATTGATGATTCTTAAAAGAAAAAAAAATCACACACACACACAAAACCAAAAACCTTAAGGTTTTGCTTACTAGTGACGCGACCTTCATTTCCATGGTAAACTTTGATTTCCATTAAAGTCAGCAAGCAGTGCAGCTCAAATGTTCTTATCGGGGTCAAACCTAATCCCCAACCAAACGTCTTGAAGTGGATCTAGACATTTCAGGAGGATTGCCATAGACAGCGACAGCTAGGTTGTCCCCATATTTACAGCACGTAGTAACAGAGGTCAAACTCGGTCTAAACGCTTTACAGCAAATTTTATCTAGTCGTAACATAAGAACCATTTTCTATGTGAATATGAAAATAAATTTACATTGAAATCTATTTTGGTGTTGATACATTGTTAATGATTTATTTTAAAACGAACTATGATTTGTCGCGCACTGCGAAGTTACAATGTGTGAAATGTCCAAGAAAAGGATAGACAATTTCGTTCTGCTATGTCTTTATTTAATATGTCAATAATTTGACTGTTTTGCTTGTGAAACTTTAAGAAATAGAATATATAATAATGTCGTCAGTTATAAGAAATGTATTTCACAACTATGTCTGATATTTTTATATGTTAACGTTGATGATATGCTGATGTGTTTACATTTAAAACAAATATGATTAATAACAGCCATAAACCAGACTAGACACAAAAAATTTAGTCACGAATCACGTAAGAAAAGAAATGTATTTTCCGTTTTCTGACAATAAAAAGGGTTTCAGTGAACTCTGAATGTAAACGACCTGACAGTGTTCTAAATTTGCGGTGCATTAATAGAGCTTTATATAAAATAAGTATGTATGAATTACCAGTCTATGAAATATTTATTAGGCATTGATGTCATAATGGACTTACAAGTAAGTCATATAATTGTGACGGCAACGAGAGTCTGTGTTGTGGTGTGCCAAATTCTTTTTATTGTGATTTACACTTACTATAATCTCGGGAAAATGCTAAATAAATTCATACCGGAATTAAAACAGAATCTATTGGCGTGGGATATTAAGCAATAACTTTGGGTGAGGTTTAGACCAATTAGCGAGAACTTGTTAAATTGTTGTTCAATGTTGTTAAATGAGCTGCCGGTGGGAATGTCATGAAAAGCTAGCATGATAAAAGATAAGATTAATAATATGTAAGGAATAATGTTTGCATTTAATTATCATCTGACCATAGTCCTGAACTATATTTTTCTTACCAAGAACAGTAAAGAGAAGTTCTCTCTAGCCGAACGGTATATTGCGGCCAGTATTTACCAGGGTTAAATGTATAATACGGGGGTTTTAACCAGCGAGGTAAATGAACTTTATGTGAAAATAAATGTGAGAATAGATTTGAGTAGCTGAAAGGAATCATGTGATTTTGTGAGAAGTAAGATAATCTTGTTATCTAGATCTGTTCAAGTACTTTTATTATCATTAATGAATACTCTATATGATTGCCACAATTCAAGATAAAGTAATTGTAAGACATTTTTACATTAGAAAATGCATTATATTCTATTGATTTAGTGTCTAGGTAGTTAAGAAGTAACAGTAGGTTATAGACTCCCATTCTATTGGCTTTTGACAGTACATTTAATCCTTCTTATTAATGGCCAAAGATCCCTCTGAAACGCCAATAGTACTCTCGAGAGTGTGGTGTCCTGCTAGGGGCTTTGGGCAGTATGCTTCATTGTGGTAGCATTATAAAGTCTAAAAAGTCGGTATCAGTTCCGCACTTTCAGAAAGAGTCTTGCATGAACATGTCGCAACCTTCTAAAGCACGCATTCAGCACATGCACACACCTCGCATACAAGAACAGACCGTCCTTCAATGACCCTCGGTGTTAAAAATATAAACCAAGCCAATTAATGCAAGCTTTTAGCCAGCTAATTAATAAAGAATTCTTTTTTCAATTGCTGTGTGTGTTTGTCTTTTATTCTTCTCCAAACATTGTTCCACTGGATACCGATTGAAGAAATCTGCCATCTTCTAAAACTATCCCATACAAATATCGTACAAGTATCATCTTACTGCGTAGCCTATTTCGGCGACGCTACAATTCATTATATTGTGCAATGAGACAATGATGGTGGAGCCTAGCTTCCTCTGTTACTTTCACTCAATTTTGCTGGAAGTCTCATCCCGCAAGACACCTCTACAGTTATTACGGGACAAAATTCGCGAAGAATCAGAAAGCAAACCATGGATCCTTTTTCTTACACTTTTTCTGTCTGATCTAATCTCGTTGAAGCAGTCATTTTTTATCTTTCGAAGAAGCTTGTAATTTCCTGACTTTTCTTAGAATCTTGCTGTTAAAAATCATTGGTATGGTATATGTCTGTTTCTCGTCTGCTGTAAATGTGGTGCGCTAATAGCAGCACTATCATCACAACGAGTTGTCAAACTAATAGAATACCAGAGAATAAAAATATTGTATAAACCTGTCAAGGTTTTAAGACCTCGCTTCCTTAGAGGCATCGTTTGGTAAATTCTGATCATTTAGCAGGCGACGGATTTTTATATAACACACATTTATATCATGATTTTTTAAGACCTGGCAATGTAAAATATAATCATAAATAATAATATGAATACAAATAATACAATGAAATAAATTCGGCTGAAATCGTCAGTGTATGGCTTCAGTGTATGTTCATGCATGGCGGTGCTTCCATTTCATTTATTTCATAATTCCTGAAAAGCGACAGATGTAAACTTTTTAAGAACATCGACTTACCAAGGATTTGAAGACTTAAATGCCGAAACAGCAGTTACGTCATCCAACTATGAAACACAACGAAAACAAACTAACACCATCAATTTTATAGCATCCTCGATAATAATACTGAAACACCATATTAAGTTATATTCATACTTGAGTTTAACTTGTGTATGTATAGTTTGTTGAAAATTAAACGTATCTTCTTAATTTCACGTTTTTACTTGAAAGTCCTACATGCCTTCATATCTGTGCATAAATCCACATGTTTTATGACCAAAACGCTGCGAAATCATACATAAAATTACTTTTTTAAGGGTTACACGTTTCACAACTTTCGGTTTGTATTACCTTTCGACTTCAGAAAATGATGCCAAAATTGCTTTGGTTTTGTCATATGAAATAGGATTTTGTCGGCTGGATATTTCCTTATTAGACAGATATTTAACTTTATATAAATTGCAAGAAGTTACCGAGTTATGTCATTTAAAACATAATTAATACAATTTTCGTTACATATTCCTACTTCTGTCAACATCAGAAAGTATCACAAAAGGGCAGTATGTCAAATTAGTCATGCGTGTATTGCTTAATTACCCGTCCATATATGATGGTGCCTGGTGCAATGTTTTTTTCGACAAAGTCTTGTTGTAGATGCAATACAAGGTCTTTATAACATGAAATGCAATTTTCCTGGCCACTGATTGGCTCATTTCCAATATCCTCTGCCTCAGGAATCGTTATATTTAGCTCGCGTGCTCCCAGCTGGTAAATATGGTAAATATAACGATTCAGGCTACCCTTCAATAGTAGCAAGGGGATTTACAATTTTTGATAACTGAGCGTCCAATCAGACCGCCGCTTTCTTCTACGCTTCGGGTTTCTGTTATTTATAGACGTAAAAAAATGTCGACGACAGAGGACAATTCACGGCAGCCTTTTTGCCACCGCGGATGAGGCTAAATTCAAACAATTCTTGACGTTGAATTATTCCGAGAATACCAGGAAAGATACAGGTTTAGCGGTGAAAACTTTCGCACTTATTTATACGAAAAAGGTCTCAATGATGACTTCGAAAGAAAGTCGACAGGTGAACTCGACATCGTTATATGTATTTGAAATTAAAGAATTCTAACGAACCTAACTTGCTCGGTAAATAATTCATTATCGGGTAAATAAATAATTGTATTCACCTAAAAAGGTCAATAACTGTATAATATAAACATTGACCTATGAAGGGTTTCATGACTAAAATGTTGACAGTTATTTCTTATTTAAACAATGGAACACAGCTATTTGCATAATGTAGGTGATATTTTTTATGTATATATGTTCAGATGTGCGTCGCATTTTTATCCTTGTTGGATATTAAAACTAAATTCTGTGATAAATGTGCACGAATCCTCAGGGCTAATGATGTAATATCATTATTTTTTTTGTATTATTCGTTGAATTTGTCGAAATTCTTAATCTGCGAAGTAATGAAATCAAAATAAATGCTGAAGATCGATATCGATATTACTTACAATCCCTATTTCACAAAGCGAAATGACAACGATATCAACTTCTGTCGTGTTGAGATATATTTTCATATTTACGAATAATAGCCACATTAAAACTTAACACGTTATGTAAGTCATCCGTGTAGTGCCTAATTACCAGCCCATATATGGTGCCTGACACTGGTTAATTTAGCCCTCTAGATGCAATACAATATTGATATAAACACCAACTTACAAAGAATTTAATGAGTAAAATTTGGACAC